AAGTGAAAGTGAAAGTGACGTGACATGTGGCCAAGTATGGTGACCCATACTCGGAATTAGTGCTCTGCATTTACCCATCCAAAGTGCACACACACACAGCAGTGAACACACACACGAAGCAGTGGGCAGCCATTTATGCTGCGGCGCCCGGGGAGCAGTTGGGGGTTCAGTGCCTTGCTCAAGGGCACCTCAGTCGTGGTATTGAAGGTGGGAGAGTGCGCTGTACCCCCACCTACAATCCCTGCCGGTACGAGACTTGAACCCACAACCTTTGGGTTATGAGTCCGACTCTCTAACCATTAGGCCACGACTTCCCCCTGTCGACTTGCCTGCGCTGTTATCTCAGCCTACTGGAAACTTTTTCAGGCTTCTGATTGGCCAACATGGCTTTACGGTTGAGATTATATCACCACCTGTTGGTTAGGCATGCTCTTGACAGTGCTTCATAGCACGTGTTTGTGTTTTCATGTGGACAGAGATTTTTTTAAAAGCAGAAGAAAAAACTGTTTATAAAAAAGCCTGTGTACGTGTGGACATGGCCTTAGAGATGGTAAACTTTAGCCGCATTCATCATGAAACTTGCTAACTGGCACATTATTAGGAATGGTGATTTGCAAAATTCATAAAAAATAAATTAAAAAAACTTATACTCACTTCTTCTGTTGGTGAGGCTGGATCACAAATGACTATGTGCGAACATAGACGCATTTAGGTAGATCGGGGGCCCTTCAAAAACATGGGATCATAATCCACTGCATCTTCAGCGGCTCAGATGCCGGGAGTAAATGACGACTGTTATTTTCATTACATCCAACAACAGAACACCTCAGTCGCTTAGGAGTCATTCTTGTCTACATCTGCTTCAAACAATGGCGGACTGATGACAGCTCACTCAAGGCGGGTCTAAGGTAAGACACCAGTCCAGTCTGTGCTGAAACGCTACTGTCATTCAAACTATCATGTGAGGGGCCTGTGTGTGTGTCACACAGACAGGCATCTGAGATTGGCTCGATTTGAGAAAGGGGTTTGGATTTATCGAGATTTTAAATAAAAGCATTGGGTGGATTTGTATCATTGTAGGGTGGTTGTGTACACACACTGCCAATACACATTTCAGTTCAAACAACATGTAAAAGTGAATTTTGCATCTGATGACCCCTTTAAAAGTCAAAATCACAAGGTTGTTAAATAGAGAATTACCTGGAAAAATCACATAGACTCCCACTTCACAGAGAGTAAGAATCTTTGAAGTTCCAGGAATATTCACAGTAACGTAACGTCCCTGCATCCCACGACACGAGTAGCTGTAGGTAGCTCCTGCTGGAATAGAAGAAACTACAGCACATCTGGAGAAAGACGAAAGATTGAGTCACTTTGGGGTCCCCTTCATCTCAGTGGAATACAATTTTGTGATTGTTCTACATTTTCTATCTATATTCACATAAAAAAAACTGGGATTGATTCGGTTGTTCTGAAGGTATGAAAACATTGTTTTACTAATCTGGTATTTGGGGTCAATATGACCCCACATTGAAATGAATGGAAAATGTGAAAAAATCGATATATATATTCTTTTTCATTTGTCAAAAGAAAATCAATAAATCTGGCATAAATCTGAAAATTTCCACACAGAAATGAAGGCCTGGTACTAGAGCACAAATGCAATGTAGAAAATACATGCTCACTCACATGCACACGCACGCACACACACACACACACACATGTGTGTAACTGCAAGAGAGAGCATTTTTATAGAAATTGGCAAATACAATCAATAAATCCTGCATAAATCTGAAAACGGCCAAAACGGCTCAAAAACGAAGGCCTGGTACTAGAGCACAAATGCAATGTGGAATGAGCATACTCACTCACGTACGTATGCACACACACACTCTCTCTCACACACACACCCAACATTCATATCTGCTTATTGCAGTTGTTTTTGTTTTGTTTTGTTTTTTATTTACATTTAAGTAAAATAAAATTGTTTTGATTTTACTTTTTAGATTGAAAAAAAAATATGTGCCTGCAATCAAGTTTTAGTGACAACTTGTGTGGCATTTCTCAAAATGTATGTGGCATTATTGCAAAAACCGGCACTTCGAAATACCTCAAACAACAAAAACAAATTCTAACCTTTGAGGCAAATACTGTTTTTGATATATTTTATAATGTTTCAGTATATATTTGCAAAATATACTGTATATCAGAAAATTTGTGAGAGTAGCAGTTAGTCACTTCCAGAAAAATGAATGGATGTCTATGGGCCTCTGCTGGGTATATATGGTCATTACGTTATTACATTATTTTCTTTTTTAAAACTGTCATTTCTACAAGTTTTTCTCTAACCAGCAGATTGCAGAATTCTACACCTAACACCTATATCAATATCCAGAAACAACTTAAATCAAATTTAGATTATCATTTAAGTGATTGTTTCATGAAAATGTAATATTTCACATGCAAGCTAATGGTGTAGTTGAGGATTTTTGTGGTAAATAGGTACAAAAGTACTTCATATCTCCCAAAACACAGTTTAAATGTATAGATGAGAAGTAAACAAAAACAAAAAATGATATATTATTTGTATGATTAAACATGTATATATTTTTTATAATTATAATTTTGGGGTCATATTGACCCCAAATACCATTAGTGTAAACAGAAAATGAGAACCATGTGAGGGTTAACTGCATTGAACCGACATCTGACTCACTTGACATTATTTTGAGTTTACATTATTTTTAGTGACATAGGGTTTTACCACTCAACTGGCCAGAATGTCTGCAGGCTCTGTAAAAATATATTAGAGAGACTCACATTGGATTGCTAAAAACATCTGAAGAATCGTTTCCAACCCGAATCTCTGACCCATTTATCCTGTTGCTACAGCAGTCGCGTCTGTTAGTGATGGTCACTCTGTTCACACTGTACATCTTCAGCAGGTCCAGCTTCCACCACGGGTTGCTCTGTAAGTCTGTATGAGTACAGCTGGAGTTTTTCCCATCCAGAGCATATTGGGCATATAAGTTCTTATATGTTGTCGACTGATTGGCTGTGCCCCATCCTGCTGTGTTCACTGGAATACGTTTAAGAGAAAACCTTATTTATGTTTACAATGACAATTATTTATTTCTATTCTGGCTTTATTTAACATGCAATAATATGGTATCATCATTAATATTATGTGTTTCTGTGAAGCTGCTTTGAAATAATGTGCATTGTAAAAAGCGCTATACAAATCTAATTGGAATGGTTATAGGTGTAGAATGTTTTACATTTATTACAATATGTCATCAAACAAATGGAAAAGAATACAAGAAAAAAAGACCACAAATATACATTGGTATAACACACACATCTGCATATTTCTCTCCCGATTCAGACAAGATGACTTTTTTCCACTGGAACAAGCGTTTTTATGGATCATGGATTCGTATTTTACGTTTTAAATTTAAAACGTCTTAATGATGTATGCGTTTCATCTCATTCCACAAGCCCTTAACTGATGGACTGGAGTGGTGTGGATTACTTATGGATTATTGTGATGTTTTTATCAGCTGTTTGGAGTCTCATTCTGACGGCACCCATTCATTGCAGATGATCCATTGCTGAGCAAGTGAACGTTACGATGTAAAGATGTTTAGACAAGGGTACTTGTTTGATTGACATTTACATCTTGGATGGCCTGAGGGCATCAACTAAATGTTAATGCAAACTGCAACTCCATTATTTGAATTAATTTATTTTAGATAAACCCTAAATGGCACGTAAAACCAAATGAACTTTGGATGTTTTACATAGTCTCATCCCGGCTATCTGTGCACGTAAGTTAAGGCCCAGTCAAATAGTTAGTCAAAGTACAGGTATATTGTTTAAAATACACCTATGACTTTAAACAGGAGTGTGTATGGCTGATATTAAAAATCTAAAGCCCCTTGATAAAGAATATTAAAACACACTAACACTAAATACAATAATCTAAATAAATATCAAGTCTGTTATAAAGTATACAGTTTGAATGAAGAAAAGTAATATTGACATATAATAGTTTTTAACCAATGTAATCTAACCTTCTGTTCCATTTGCCTTCATTTGAACTGAAAAAAACCCTAAAAGAAATGAGAAACACAAAATGATGCTTAGTTTTAAATTGAACCATAAACCTCATGACATTTTGTTAATTAAGTTTTAGGCTTAAAACTGAGGAAACAGGTACGAAGGTACAAAAGCAGTCACTGGAGTGTTTTTTT